AACAGTTGTTTTTTTACACTGATTATTGTGTTTAATGTCAAGCTATCAGTGTTTTTTTTTGTCTCTTGTCTCACAGGAATAAATCACAGTTGGAGACGGATAGAGGCAGTGCCGGAGCGTTCCTGACCAGCACGCTCCCCGGGGAAGCTGACGCACAGTCTGGTCGACTTGTGTCAGGCATTTCTCTCCGGAACACAGGAGCGAGAGAGTTCCCCAGGGGAAGTGGGCTACTCCTGGGCTGGGGAACACGTGACCAGCCTCTATGTACCCCTGTGGTTGAAAGTCTCTTCACAGGAAAGCACATTTCATTCTGTTTCTGTTATACTAGCTTTTAAAAGTCAATTGGTAAATACAACATTTCATGGATTTATCGACTATCCAGACTGAACAGCAAACCTCTTGTCTTGAGATGATTCAGAGTCACGTCATTATCAATACTAGTGAAACAACATGTTGTTTTTTTTTCTTTTGGGGGGGAGGGTAACGTCCTCCAGGGCATCTATGGCTGCTTGTGCATCGAGGTCTCCCGTGACGTGCCAGACACCCACGGAGAGAGAGGCATCTCATTCTAGCAGTCGTCGCTCGCCCCCCCCTGGGTACAAGCCAAGGAGTGTGTAGCTACCACTGTCAGAACTGTGCACGGTGTGATCGGCACGACGCGAATTCGCAGGGAGGAAAAACGACACGCTTGTTAACACATATTAAGAGAGCTGTTCCCAGAGAAGATGCACTGTTGTTGACCGGCGTTTGCTGTTTGGATGAGTGCTCTGACAAACAAACAGTCTCCCTCTCTCTATACAGTATACCCCCCCACCCCCCCACTCTATATATACCCCCCCACTCTATATATACCCCCCCACCGGTAGGTTTGCCTCTCACCTCTCACCTGCCGCAGGAGGGCCTCTAATCAGTCCCATCATGGGGGGCTCTCAGCCGCCCTGTGTCCGGCCGTTTGGGATCATCTCCACAGCGCTGCATTAGCGCCTAGGCGCTTCGAAGAGAGATGCTAATTGTGGAGCACAGCTCTACTGCAGGGCTGCTAATGCATTCCAAGGCCCCTCTAACCAAGTCCGGCAGAGTTTACACCCTCTACTCATGTTCATTCAAATGACCTTTTTTGGTGCTATTTAGCTGTTTACCAAAAACAGAACAAGCATCAAACTCTTAACACTTAAGGGCTCCATCATTCGGGCGGGTTGCAGTTATGTGACTTTGCGAGTGCTTGTTTTTGAAAAGATGGAACAACCATGACTAAAAACATTCCTGTCCTACTATATTTATCATTTATGATAAATTATCCCCATATATACTATACAAATATAAAGTATATAATGTATTTATGCCAGGCAGTCAATGAAAATTTGTAGGCTATTTATCTAGGTACTAATATTGTAAATTTCACAGAAAAAAAAAACAAAATTTGACATTTGTTCACATGCAAACAGTAACACAATGAAAACAAGAATTTCTTCTGTTCTCCAAAAAGTTACTGATACCTTGCTGAATGACTAGAAGAGCAGCCTTATGGTTCCTCTACCCAGGGGCACCTAAACCATGTCTTTTAATGAATTAACAGGGGGTCTGTCAATCAATTCATAAAATATGTCTATAAATAATTTTATATAAACTCAAGTCAGAAGCCACTGATAAATCATCACTGTAAACTGCTCTTTGACTTAAACACGCTCGCTTGGTTACTTTCCAGACCGTTCGTGATGTTACACAGTCACATGCAATGTTACTAATGAGGTGTTATGCAACAGAATGGTTATGTAGATGGTAGTATTGCAATTTGTTTATTTTGTTTATTTATTTGTATGTTCATGTTCATATATAAGCTCCACTGCAATATAGACACTGTGTCTATTCCACTTAGTTTGGTTCGCTTTGTGTCCAGGGCCGGATGAATGAACAGGCTCACCCAGGCTGCAGTCCAGGGGCCCAGAGTGATCAAGAGGCACCTATTGGCCATCCAGGTTTTTTTATTACAATGTAAAACACTAACCCTAACCCTAACCCTAAGGGGTCCCTGGCCTGAAATAGGTTGAAGACCCTGGAACTAACTGAATTAGTGAAGTAACTCAGTGAGGCATTGATCAGCCAAGCCAGGTGGGGTGGTGGTTCCAGCATATTCCGGGGTGATTGTAGGAGAAGTTTGGAATTGGCTAAGCTGACACACTTTAACAGACTTTATCATAGTCATGAAGTTCATTCAAACATCATTTTCTTTGACTGACTAAGACTTTTACACAGTGCTGCGTATTTTTCCACTTATCTTCCTGAGCTCACGGTGAACCAGGAGCTTGTGCCAGGAAACATAGGGCACAACACAGGCAGGGCTCTGAGCAGAATGGCAGCCCTCTTCATATGCTTGTAGACAACTTAGGTTTGGAGAAAATATCCTGGTTCTGCAGCTCAAAAAACACGTGTGTTCTTCCCATGTTGAAAAGATCAGCTATTTGTCTGAGGGGACGTAGCAGGAAGGGCATACCCCACTAGTGACATACTGCAGCTGGAAGCTGCCGTATCATGACTCAGGCACAGGCCAGAATAATAAAAAAACAAGACAATTTACGTAATTTAATTGACAATGAATGCTGAGTCTTGTTCTGGGCCTCATTTTGTCTGGGGGCTTATTTTTAAATTAAAAAAGTTTCCCCCGTGCCCAGGCACGGCGCCAGTGTCTTGCACGCCGATCACACGGACTGATGCACGTAGGAACGCGCGTGATCCCGTGACGTCACAACGGCGCGGGGAGCCCGTGCACGTCTGTTAGTGCACATTAGCATAGCTTGGGCTTGGCTCCAGCTCCCAGATGGAGGGTGGACTGAAGGACTTTCTGGGGCCAGGGAGAGGGGGGAAGTGTGATCAACTATGGGGTGGGTCATGCTCGTGATGGGGAGGGTCAGGCCCACCCTGGCCCACCCTGGCCCTCCTGTAGAGCCAGGGCGCCTGTAGGTTAGCGTCAAAAGGCGGGAGGCTAATGATAACATTGAATGGCGTGTTGCCAAGCGACGGGAGACCCGCATAGAGGGCCGAGGGCATTTGCCACCCCTGTGACAGGACGTTAGCGGCAGGAGGTAAGATTGCAAATAACGTTTTGCCACAAAGTGACAAGAAGTGCAGGTTAATGTGACATTATCGTTACATCTACGAAGTTTTGATACTATCAGTTACTATAACCAGCATAAAGCTACATTAATAAGAAATAAAGAGTTTTGAGTGTGATTTCATTTTAACCTTTAATAAAGAAAATTTTATGATTTCTGACTTTCTTTTCTTTTCAACACAAAAAACACCAGTTACGTAACTGCAGCTGACAGCATTATCAATATCACACAAAGCCACCGATTTCAGCAAATTATGGTATTATGGTAGCGGGCCGCTAACCCATTAGCCGCGTGTATCTTGCCTAAACACGGCTGCCGGAGAGAGAACCGTCATGACTGTGCTTCAGTGGTAATTAGCTGGAGATGCGGCCAGCGGTGATCAGCTCAGAAGGGCCACTGTCACCGCGACTTCAGTCCGTCCCTGCGGCCGGTTCGATATCCTGCGGCACTCGTCACTCAAAGGCGAGGCTTCTCAGAAGTAATTCGAAATTTTTGTCGATAACCCTAAATCGTGCAAGAGCCGAATCCTTTTTCTTAAACAGATGCTGGTTCACTTCGGTGAGGGTTTTTTTGGGTAATCTTGGGCTGACTGAAACCTCAGTCCACGGTCCCTCTACAGTAGGGAGACAAAACTGGTAATTACCTCCATTGCCGGGCACTCATTCACGGTTATCTGCACGGAATGATAATTCTACAGAGCAATAACTAAGATGCTGTCCTTCCTTCTCATGTCAGGAAATTGAATTTGGGGGCTGATTAACTCATGGAGTGCTTGCTTCGACCATCGCCTGCGATTTAATGGCGGACTTTCCCCTGCTTTTACAAACACATAAAGGTGTTACAAACTCAGCAGCTCATATTAGTGTACCGGACACCTATATCCGAAAGTACCTCAGACATGTGCATGTCGAAAGTTTCCTCATCGCAAACCGGGACACCTTTAACCTGCCGAATCATCATCCTCATATCTGACTTAGGCTTATCATGCTAAGGTTATTACTCTGTTTCCACAGATCTTTCCTGCTTCTCTAAGCATGACATTGATCTGGCAAACTCGCACCTCAGTTCTTGCTCTTGCCTACAGGCGTGTTGCCGCGATCATTCTAGAGAAGGGTACGATTTTACCGTCCAGGATTTCTGACAAAGAAAATTGTGTTGCACGTACTGCAGGCGTAAACAAATGTCTGTAGACTGCGGGAGATTAAAAAAAAACAAACCTACACAACGTGGGATGAGATCCAAACGTTGCAGCCTGACGATGCGTCGCCATACAATATCTCACAACGTCAATCGCAACATGCATGAAAAGCAACGGACCTGTCATGGTGTGATATTACCACCGTAACTTTAAGGATAAACATCAGTTCAAAGCTTTAAATCTGATCATCAGAACATTAATAACGATGAACCAAATTTGTAGCCTACTCATGGTTGGGGGAATATAGTATACTGATAACCTTTAATCACACAAAACCAAATTTAAGTAGGCGACCTCCGTTTAATTAGCTATTGGATGTCTTGCTCTAGCACTCCAATTTCAGTCGGCAATTCCCGCTCACTATACATGACAGATTAATTACTTGAATAACTAAACCTTATCTGGCTTATGTAATGCAAAGATAAACATAGGAAGCTACGAGACGTGTGAGTTTGAATGAGTATATCATTAAAAACCTGCAGGTGACCGGGAAATGAGGTGAACACTATCGCTTCGTCCATCATGTGGCGACCTTGTACTGTTTCCGTGAAGCCAATATGAACGATCCTAATATTAAGCAAACTGATTTAGGTATTTTATATAGGCGTCAAACAGATTAACACCTAAAACTACTTTAGATCGTTAGTATAACATCTCACCGGTGCCTAAAATATCTAGTTTAAGAGCTATGATCAAATTATGTACATATACCGTATTTATTACTGGAATTTGAAATCAATTGTGCTTCCTGAACATTTCTATATCATGAGGTTTATATTCATTATAACATTATATGTATAATACCGATCTTAACATCGGCTTCCTTTCTCCAAGAATGGTTTTATAAATACCGGTATGTTCAACTTTATTAGCCAGTTTCAAAACTGTTCAGAAAATCTCACTGTCGCGTCATATACTTAGGTTAACATATATGCCGACACTTAACGTCACCCTGTAATGTAAACCATGCAGCGTCACAAACTGCAAAATTAGGAAGTGTTTGCACTGTTTTTCAAAGGCACGTAATGGTGCATTAATTAAATGCGTGTTTATTTACTATGCTTGCATTTCATTATCTGTTAGGTCTGTTCTTGTGGAAGATGATATGTTGATCGAGTCCCTGCTGTCATGAGCATATTTGTATGTTACTGCCTCGTCAGGCAGCAATAAACAGGGAAAGTCTTGATGATATTCTGTAAGTGATGAGTTACTAGACTGCTTTGTCCAGACATTGGCCATTTACTTCATGTTCCAATCGGTTATTAACATAAGTAGCCTAATGTGTATTATTCAGTGATGTGCATTTGGATGGACTGGTGTAACTTTAATTCATTGCAATGTCTAAAAAGCTGCCTGTTGCAAACTTAAAATGAAACGTCATTAGAAATTCATATTCCTCAAACGCCTGACGATTACACGTAGGCCTTGGTCAGGATCTCTTCTCATCAGGGGAGTTCAAGAATCATCTCAGGATGAAGACGTACACGAGTCGCATTTGTTTAAACTTCCCAATTACTTTACAGAAAACGTCCCAGGGCTTCTTGCAAACGTAATATGTAGCCTAATTTTGTTTCCAAGCAAACAAGATAATTCTCGATGTTGCCTGCGTCACTCCACGTCGGGTCCGCTCATCGTCCACGCATGGTACTTAAATCCTGGTGCAACCACCAGGACCCCGTAGCTGCATCCGTGTTCGGCCGCTGATAGGTAGACACAGCTACTCCGGGTCAGTTACCGAAACTTAGACTGGGGGCTTCAGTGACGTCATAAAGGCTGAGATTATAGCGGTGAGCTGCGCTGATCCGGCTCTTGGCTCCCTTTACGGGGATTGGCTGGCTCCCGGGCGTATAAATACGCACTTCGTGGGAGAACACACCGATATTATTTCCGAAACTTGCAAGCTCGCCGATCTAACGGGAGGAATCAAAGGGGACGTAAGTAGCCTAATTCTTTAAGCACTAACCTTATTTCTTTGAATTATTTAAAAAATAACTTACAAATAGTAGAAATAGTGTACTGTCAACTATTTAAGAGTTTTCTGATTAATTTTCGCAATATATAGTACATAAATGTTACGTTAAGACATTATTTAAAATCAAATTTTGTTTAATTGTTCATTCTGTGTTTCCCTCACAGGTAATGCAGGATAATATCAATGGCAAGAATAGGAAATTAAACATTTTGTCTTTGAAGTTAAAGGTTTTATTTCTTGTCTTACAGTCCATGGGGTTGACGGTAACATCATGCTGGACGCTCATTCTGAGCACCTGCTTGGCGCTGCCGGTCTGCGCAGACTGCGGCCAGGACTGCGCGCTCTGCCTCTTCCGTCTGCAGGGCAGAGCTGCTGAGGTGAGCACGCTGGTAAGGCGCAGCCGCTGGTCCACCTCCATCCAGACGATGTTAGGGCATCGAGGAGCTGCGATGTATGATGATGCGGATATTAGTGTCGAAAGCAAGGCGTTCCAGTGAAAGCGCACTAGTGCATCTCCTCTGGGTGTTCATAATTAACCCAGACTTCTTAGTGCGTAAAACTTCGTGGATTCTTCTTTGTTTTTGCCTAAACTAGTTTAAATTAAACATATCTCAATCGTACAGTAACAGCAATCCCACTGACTGATTTTAAGTTTGTAAGTTTTTACAATAAAAATGCTGTTTTATTATTTATACAAATTCTGAAACCGTGTAGTATTTGCGGTAAATAAGTACGGACTGTCCCATTCCTTCCAGGGATAATCTATTCTTGTTGATCAGTTTGAAAGATATCTGTTTCTTTTAATGCTGGTTACAATAGATAACGAAATTAAACCGCCTGTCGCGTTATCGAGGACCTTTATCTGAGAAGGTTTATAGTGAAATTCGGACTTATTTTATAGACATACAGAAGAATCTTACGTAATTTTATTTATTCTTTATATAGTGTTGGCAGCGAACCTGTTTTAGTTCACCAAACTACAAATATTAAATTGAATCCAATACAGCATTTAATTTTTAGCATTTTTAAATTAAGTTTCGAATATATAAGTCAAATATTTCACTCAACACCTTTTAGAGGGGTACCCAGTGCTCAGTATAGTGTTGGGAAAATTGTGGAGCAAAAATAAGATGTTCTATTTGGTTTTCGCCCTGGAGGTTTGGTCATGCCTGAATGTAGACGCGGGCTGATGGTCCGTATCGCACGCAGAACCTTTGGTCCTGAGCAATAGCGCCATTCACTATGATTACTGACATCTCACTCTAAACCCATAACCCGGGCAACAGCAGGTCCCACTAACGCTAACGCGTTTCTTATAAGCAGAACATAGAACTATCTGCAGAGAACAATATTACTCAGTTTACATGCAACTATATATCCTTAATCTACATGAATGTGTTTTACGTAATTTCCGCATAACTGCCTCACGGAGCAATTTCCCGAGAATGTGCTTCCATAACGGACCAAAGGGGGCAGTATGTTACCAGTGTTGCCTCTGACATCTGGGGCTTTGGCTGTCCTTGCTGCTCCTGCTCTGTCTGCGCGTGGAGTTTGCATGGTTTCCCTGTGTAGTGTGGATTTACTCTGGGCAGGAGTGTAGGAACCCCAGTATTTAGTCTGGCTTAATTCACACCCCTATAAATAGACATTTGGCTTTATATTATTAAGTTTTGTACCCAACCCAACCCCCACTGCAATACACTGATATCCCTTCAAGGGTGTCCCCAGCCTTATGCCCTAGGACAGGGTCTAGGGATCTATGACCTTGTATAAGAGATCGGAGGATGGGTGGAATAATTCAGCCATGATGGTGACCACATTTTTGTTTTATCTTCCTGTGATTTTCACTCAGACATGTACGCTGGAGTGCGAAGGGAAATTAACGACGAGAAAGTCCATGGACCTCTGCAAAGACATGCTCCAAGCAGAGAGAGAGCGGGTAGAGAGAGGGAGCGCCACGAAACAGGAGGACGACGAGCGACAGCTGGAGAAGAAGTACGGGGGTTTCATGAAACGCTACGGGGGGTTCATGAAGAAGGCCGGAGAGCCCGTCGCTGGGCCCGAGGACGAGAACGGCAGCAGAGACGGCCTGGTGAAGAGGTACGGAGGCTTCATGAAGAAGGACGCGGAGGCCGGCGGAGACAGGGTCGGCGCTTTGAAGGAACTTCTGACCCCTGAAGCGGCTCTCAAAGACGACCAGCAGGTGGAAAAAAGGTACGGTGGCTTTATGAGGAGCGTGGAACGGAGCTCGGAGCTCGACGGCGGCGCCAGGGAGCTGCAAAAGCGATATGGAGGCTTTATGAGAAGGATGGGCCGCCCTGCGTGGAAGGAGGACGAGAAGCGGCTTATCGGCTTCCTCGAGGGCCCCCGGGGAGATGAGGGTGGAGCCTATTCACCGGCAGCAGAAAAGCGATATGGAGGCTTTATGGATTAGCTGACCAATCAAAGGACACTATCTCTGATCACCTGCCCTTCTTGTTTGCTTGATATATATATATTTTTTTTTACCAATAAGCATATATGTTTGTCTTGTTGTCAGACAACACCACAGACTACACTGTAAGAGTTTTATTTATTACAAGGAAGCACTGGGTAGAGGGGGGGGGGGACACACCTATAAACAAGAAATGATTACAGAGGACTGATTTGGGGATTTCTGTTTGCCGTTTTTTAGGATTAAAATCATGGTTCACGGTGTTTTATTATTTGTAAAAATGCGCTACCCTAATTAAAATTATTCAGTGTAAAGGTCATTCGAGTCCAGCGACAAATCAGAAAGTCGGATTCAAAGAACAGAAGAAAAACATTATGAACAAAAGGAATTGAGACTTTCCAACATAACACAATCCAAAAATTCCCACAGGATTCATTCTAACCTGTCACATCTTAAATATATCACATCCACCCGAATGGGGGTGTCATCAATCTTTTGCTTATGTTACACTATCACCAAAAAGTGTCTGTAGCTATTAATGAATTAACATGTTTTTCCTTAAAGAGATTCCATCTCTGTGTGTAAGTCATTATGATTAGATGCTGAAATGAAAATAAAGTCATTTTAACTGCAATCGTAAACATACTTCTCATTATGCTGCGGGTTTCTAATCTGAAGGACACTGTGGCCTCAGTTTCACACACAGATACATATCTAATATCTAATATATATATATATCATAAATATTATAACTATAAATGTTAGCCTAATGCCATCCCTAACCATAGCCGTAACCCTAACCTGAATGTGAACTCTTACCATAATCTGAGATTTAAAACTAATAATCACACTATCATGGTACCAGTGCATGGAGACGTGTTGAGTACCATAGCCTTAATCCTACAGGTCTAATCCTAATTCCAAACTGAACCATAACCCAAAATTTAAACTTAATCCTAATGCCAATCTAATACCTTAGATTTAACTTGAATAACAACCAACTGAGCTATGACTAACCCCGATGGCAATACAAACTCTTACTCAAACATTGAACTTCATCCAAATATTATCCCTAAGATTAACTGTAAACCTAATGCCAAACCTAACTCTAACTAATGTAGCTCTAACAAGAACCCTAACCTGAATTTCAACTCACACCCTTATCCTAATCTAGAATCTAGATCCAAAAACATAAACTGTTAACAAAGCTGATGGAAGAAAAAAGGATTGTGTTGAATGAATGTTCTCTTCCATCAACTTTGAGTTGTTTTTAAAGTATCCAGGCCGACCTACTGGTGAGCCAAACACGTCTAATGACTTTGTTAGATGTGGCGATCTCTTTGGATTCCCTATTTTTACAATCTCACATGGTGGAAAGGAGAACAGACTTAAGTTTCGATCAGTCGTAAAAAATAGCAGAAAAAAGCCGTATATTTCATTACTGCTCAATTGCGAGATTATATTGCAGTTATCGGGAAATTAAGAGACAGACACAGACGCTCCACTTCTCCCGGAAGTTTGACGTGTTATGCAAATCGCCAGCAGCTCCGTGGTAAGTGATGTGCAATGTCCCGGCAATGTGACCACGGAGAATTAAAAACTCTGCGGATCATCTGCCCACCAAAAGGATTGCAATCAAGCTCGGTTGACAAACTGCACAGCCAGCAGCCACCATCCGCCTCCCTGAAATCATTATGCTTGGGTGGAATGCCGCAAACAAATGTAGTGGGTGGAGGAGAGGACTCCTCTGAAAGATGCACAATCACAACATGTGAAGAACATTATACAATGAAAACATCAATCAGAAGCTGCACAGGACCCATAATCCTCCGCGCAGGTTACGTAAGGCGTCATGCGGCTCCAGTGCTTTCGGGCGGGGAGAGCGGCGTCCAAAAGCGGCACATCGGGGCTGCGCGCAGACGCGAAGTGCGACCGAGAAGCTGCTTTTCCTCCGTCCTGCTGCAGGTATTGTGAGCGCCGACGGCGGGGCTTTAATGCGGGGCGTGGGGCTGCTTTAAGGCCGCTAACCAGCCGGATCCGCTGCGTGTTTCTGGCAGATGTTTTTGCTCAGGGCTGTTTCTGATCCCGCAGTTAATGCACTTTGTTTTACTTCTTCACATGAACTATTGCAATGGCTGCAAGAACTTTAGCAGAGGACCGAAGTCCCGTTATATTGGTTTGCAATTCGCGGTACTTTAATTGTTTAACTTTTAACCATACGTGCAACGCATGCAATGCAACTGTTTATGGTATCGGACCACAAATAACTTTAAGTAACTGAAATGTATTAATACAGATGCAGCTAATTCCGTTAATTTTAAATATGCTGGCAGACTTTTATTTGGTTTAACAGCGTTACACACGTCGGCCAGTTCATATCTAATGCCAACGTCACAAATACACCCAATTTGCCAGTTAACCTTAACTAGTCGGTTAGTGTAAATCACCAGACATCCAATAGCCACCGACACATCACTTTATAAGAAATTGAATTTAATTCCGTTATAAGTCGGACTGCTTGTCCAGCCAAACCAGCGCAGATTCCAACTAAATCCTTGCGGCTGATTTGGTGATTAATGGCAGCAGTGCGACCTTCGGTGCCTTTTTAACCGGCGGACTGGTTAACGTTGTCGTGTTTCTGTCCCATTTCACCGGGGGGGGGGGGGGCGGACTGCTGCCGGTCGTTTTGGTTGGGGGGGCAGACTGGTGCAGGTCGTTCTGGTGGGGGGGGAGCAGACTGGTGCCGGAAAACTGACAAGTTATTTATGCAGTCATTTTACAGTTTTTACAAATAAGTATCTCATTTCTTGTTTAGACTGTCTTGTTCCCACAAGCTTAATTAATGTTTCTGTCGTTAACTTCGCTTTTCACCAACTGAAGCGACCCGACCGCCCAGCGCCGGAGGATCCGTCAAGAAAACGTTACTTTAGCCCACATATATAAATGTAAATATTAATAGCAACAATAATAATGCATTCATTTCAAACGCAAGTAGCATATGTATTTAAGGTGGCTGCGGGGGAGGCGTGCATGTTTTCAGGGGGGCACTGGTCCCTGGCCTGCAGAGTCACTATGCATTTACTTAATAGTTTGCCAACTTGGCAAATTACACAATCGGGAAAAATATATATAATTAGAAAATCTGGAAGCAGGAAGAGCACAATTTTTGTTATTCAAGAGCCTGATGGGAAAGTTTTGGCCATTGTTGGCTTTTATAGTAAATGTCTGCTTTCACGCTTTGGGGAAGCAGATACAAAATGCGACCGGTATAAACGGATTTCCAAGAATGATTTTTCATTGGGACTGAAGCATCCCTGAACAGGCCGTAGAATTGGCTAGGTCAGATTTGTTTTCAGTAAAACAGTATTGCAATCGTGGTTATTCATAGGTCCCTGATTCGTCACCATGAACTTCTTGCTGGAGACGCTGCAGATGCTGGTCCTGAGCATCTACTACAACCTGGAGGTATTCGTGCGACTCTTCATCCCGGCGCGGAAGAAGAGCGTATCCGGTGAGGTTGTGCTGATCACGGGCGCGGGCAGCGGCATCGGCCGCCTCATGGCCCTGGAGTTCGCCTCGCTGGGAGCCTCGCTCGTCCTGTGGGACATCGGCGTGGAGGGCAACGCCGAGACCGCCCGCCTGGCCACGGAGAAGGGGGCCACCACCGTTCACACGTACCTGTGCGATTGCAGCAACAAAGCCGACGTGTACAGAGTGGCCGACCAGGTGAGGACGGCGTCGTTTGTCCGTCACGCGTCAGCACAGCCGTTTCCTGGCGGGTCCGCAGCCTGGTAGCGGGTACCGACTGGCGGGTCCGCAGCCTGGTAGCGGGTACCGACTGGCGGGTCCGCAGCCTGGTAGCGGGTACCGACTGGCGGGTCCGCAGCCTGGTAGCGGGTACCCACTGGCGGGTCCGTAGCCTGGTAGCGGGTACTTACTGGACCAATTGGCACATTTGTTTTTATGAAGATCATTATCAGAAGAGTATGTGATATGGAATATGTGTTAGTATTACAAACTGCAGATATATAATTCAAAGTTGTTTATATAGCGCCTTTCACGACAGTCATCACAAAGCGCTTTACCTGGGTGTGCGGTAATACAATATTAAATTTATATTGAATTATGTATGAAACAAGAAAGAAAGAAAGAGCCAGATGACAATGGAGGAGAGGAACCAAAAGCTTCCAAACAGGGAGATATATAACAAAGAAACCCCTGGGGGTCCAAGGTCGACTGCGGCCTGATATTTTTTCCCCCCTTTCCCCCAGGAATGTTAATATTACAGATAAAGAATGGGCCTGCTTGCTTAAAGCAAGTGCACGCGGTCATGGTCATAGTCACAGTCATAGTCACGGTCAAAGTCCGTCAGTGAGTCGGTTCTCCATGTCGGCCTGTGCGAGTCGGTAGATCAAAGGCTGCGCGGTTCCTGCGTCGCGTCCTTCCATGGGACTCGAACCGTGCTCCGGCTCAGATGGGCCCCCGACCGCCACCCAGACATGCGGGAAGGAAATACGAGAGCTTGTGTGTTGAAATGGCTGGTGATAAAGAGTTAAGGAAAATCAATATTAGAGAACTCGTGCTAATCCAATATTGAACTAATCAAAAATAGTATGTACTGTGTAAGTGTGACGTGCTGTAGTTAATGGCATGAATATACAAAGTGCGTTTCAGCTCTGAGAACACATTTAGTGTGGTTGTTCAGAGTTTGGATAAGGCGTTTGGCCCGATCTGCCGCGGGCATGTTAATTGTGCAAACAAGTTGGGCAAGTCTCATGCAAACACATCATAACTGTGCCAGATGGTCATTGTGCAGATAGGGAAAGCGGTTTTTTTAAGTGTTTTGTAATTGTTTGGAGAATTTCAAACAAAGGGATTTGCAGCAATATGAACCGGCATTTGTGAGTCTAGATGTTCAGGCCAAGTTACAGCGTCGGTAGCCAGCAGGAAAAAGCGGGAGGTCTGTGCAGTTCAGTGAGAGATCCAGAAGGTTCCGGAAGCTGCTCTTGGGTGACCAACATGATGGCCTACTGCTATGGGATGTAAGTGATGTCATTGACCCTTTTATACAACCTTCTAATATGGCATTAGCACTAACAATTCCAAACCCTGGTCCTCCTGTGGTCCAGAATAGTCTTGTCCTTTAATGAGATGCTTGTATCTGAATTGTATCAATGAGAGCTCTGTGTTGTTTGGTGTCATCGTGCGACGTCCAGCCTAAGAATGCCCAGGGTTAGGGCTGCTTCTCTTATGAAACCATTGAACCCGTTTGTCTTTCCAGGAATGATCCGCATTCTGTGTGGGACTGATGAGGCGTCAAGCTGGGTGTGGCAGGTTCTCCATGTGTATCATTCAGTCACATTTCTGTTTAGATTTAAAATCTCGGAACCCTCAAAGGCGCGTGTAATAGTTTTTTCAGCTGTCGGCCCATTTAGACCCAGAACTTCGAATCTCAGAAACAAAATGTTTGAACTATGGAGTTCCTGTGTTTCTCGAACCTTCTCCGAATGGAATCTATTGTGCAGTGATGGCTTGTTTAGTTGAATGTTATTCGATAATCAAGAGACTTCTTGTTTTAAAAAGCATACGTGTCAGTGGATGCGGCTCATGGTACCGCGGGTGGGGGTGCGGGTGGGTTCTATGCTCACTGGTCGTTTCTGAATAACTTGCATGAAAGATGTTTCATTAAACCTTAATTTGATATATTTCCATCTTTTTTTGGAGGACTTTGGTGTCTGTAGCTGATCTCGCACCTCTTCTGTTTTTCTTCCCTGTTATTCCCTGTCACCTGGTCCTCTGTTCATTGCCATATAGACGATGATGCTTGCATTATTCCATAACGGTGGCATGAAAGCTGCCAGGCATGTGTCATTGTTTTGGTTGCTACCTGGTCGCTAGGATTTAAGGACAGCTGTCTGACAGCTGTTTAGGGATTGGCTGACCCCCCCCCCCCCCCAACCACCCAAAACCATTATGTCCCTCCCTTCCTCTGCCCAGGTGAAGAGGGAGGTCGGTGACGTCAGCATCCTCATTAATAATGCGGGCATCGTCACGGGGAAGAAGTTCATCGAGGCTCCGGATTCCCTCATAGAGAAAACTATGGAAGTCAACACCATGGCCCACTTCTGGGTAGGTCCTCGTCCAGCCTTGGCTCCTGCTGGAGGGTGGGATTTGTTGTCAGGCCTCTTGCTCACCTCCCCTCTGCCCATCCAGACCTACAAGGCTTTCCTGCCAGCTATGATGGCTAACAATCACGGTCACCTGGTCAGCATCGCCAGCTCCGCTGGCATGATTGGCGTCAACGGCCTGGCAGGTGAGCGCCCCCCCCCTCCTCGCCCCACCTGCTTCCCTTCCTAAGTATTAAAATGCATTTTTGCCTTATATTTTTGTCTTATGACAGGTTTGTTGGAATGCATCTGTAGTAGCAATAACAATAACAAATAAGTAGTTACTAAACATATATAACCAAAAATATGTGAACACTAGGGGTGGCACGGTTCACAAAACCCACGGTTCGGTTTGTATCACGGTTTTAGGGTCACGGTTTTAGGGTCACGGTTTTCGGTTCTGTACGGTTCTTGTTATTTTTTCTTTTAATCTTTAACACTCCAGAAATGTACTTCAGCATATGATATATAGCTTGATTATCCACAATTTAGGATACAGTATTAAAAAAAGTTATATCATGTAATCATGCATAAACTGAATTTGACTTGACTTAAAGCACATTATTAAAATTATTAAACATTATTAATCCCAGAACAGTAATAAAATAAAAGTCTTGCCTTAACATAAATGCTAAAACAATAGATCGCTTTAATCGCTATTACAGTTGGGTATGGGCACGCGGTCTTATTTAGAAAACATACAAAAAGAGACGCATATAATGTTTAATCATTCGTTTTGTATTTGTCCGGTCCACGGGGTTAATTTAATTGGGGATCGTTAAAATGATAGATCACCTATCTTGATTAAGCCTGATTTGGTTCGTTTTTTATATATATATATATATATATATATATATATATATATATATATAACGAACCGAAATGAAAAAAATTGGTATTAATTATATTGAATGTTCTTGAGTAATCGATAAAATCAGTTTCTGTGTATGTACAAGACATCAACCTGTAATAGTGCAAAATATGTCCAGTTGATATGTCTAGTATGATGATCTGGCAATAGCCTAGCTGTAGGTCTGTGTGGTCAGACACTGTGCAATAAACAGAATTTTTAGGAACATGGCAAATGTTCACATTGCAGCATGGAAGCAGGCTCACTGTTACAACGCTGACCGGGGAAGCAGAGGCGAGGAGACCTAGGATCGGGGGAATGCGGGGTTTAATGAGCAAAAGGAACACAGACGAGCGGTAAAGCAGAATTACAATATAATGACCGGACTGGAGAAAGAAACGGAAACGCGGACTAAATACAATGGAGTAATGACAAATTTGACAACAATCAGGAACAGCTGGTAAACACGGGGAATCCACACAGGGTTAATGAGGGGGCGTGGCACACGAAAAGCGCGGACGATCGAGGCATGACACTCACTGGAGTGCTTTGTCACAGATAACTTAATTTTCTTTAACAAAGTGCCTAACCTCACATTAAATAAAGTCACACAACAAAGGCGCACAACAGTGTTCAGATGTTGTGTTATCGGTTGGCTGAAATTTAAACGTTTTCTTCAGAGACAGGGTGGTAACGCCGAAAACACGAGCTAAACGCAGCAAACGAAAGGCTACTGGAAATTACTTAGCTGGCTGAACTTTTACCGGAACTACGTCACACCGCTCTGTGCATATAGCCTATTCTTTCACGCGAAAGCGAAACATACTGACGTCACATACGGGGCACGAGGCTACATTGCGCATGTCATGAACCGTCGAACCGTGCCACGCATGCATGCTCCGAACCGAGACAAGCGAACCGAACGGTTCGGTTTTTTGTTCATGAACCGTGCCATCCCTAGTGAACACCTCTATTAATTTGAGGAAGTTGCTAATCTGTGCCCATTGCAGACACAGGTGTGTAATTTACTATACAGTTGCTCAATCTCCTTCAACAAATATGAGCAACAGAATTGGTGGTTGTGCAGAAGATGTTGGTGACTCCATTCGGCACCATATTGGACAAGCTGGTGTCCACAAACATATACATGTGGGCAGTGGTGGATTAATGGTTAGGGAAGCGCACTTGTAATTGAAAGATTGCTGGTTTGAATCCCCGACCAGCAAGGCACCACTGAGGTACCCTGAGCAAGGTGCCGCCCCCAAGCACTGCTCCCCGGGCGCTGAATTAGCTGCCCCCTGCTATGTCACACTGTCACATATGGGTTAAATGCAGAGGACATATTTTGCTGTTGTGCACTTTGTACTATGGTGACAAATAATCACGCCCCCCCCTTCCTGACCATGTATTTATTGAACAAGTGCTTTAAACAGTCAAGGTCACTGAGGGGGGAAAGTATGCAAACCTCTTGAAAAGGGGGCTTATTTTTTCTCTCACAAGTGTAGCTGGTGCTTAAACTGCAGCCTTGTTGTTTAATATGTTTGACATCGATAAATTAGATAAGTCTGTAATGTCTTGTTTGGTCTGGTGTTTGACATCGATAAATTAGATGAGTCTGTAATCTCTCGTTTGGTCTGTGGTGTTTGCCAGAGGTGACTGCGGGTGTGTCGGTGAATGAGGTTCCTTTAAACTTACGCGCTTGTTTGTTTTGTAGATTACTGTGCCAGCAAATTTGCCGCCATTGGTTTCGCGGAGTCCGTCGCTCTGGAGATGCTGTCGTTGGGCAAAGACGGGATCAAGACCACAATCGTGTGCCCGTTCTTCATCAACACGGGCATGTTCGAGGGCTGCGGCTCCAAGTGAGTGGCTGGTGTGCAGATATGCTCTCCGTAAATGGGCACAGGGCACTGAGCGTGGGTGGGTGACCCTGCGTGGGAGTGGCTGGTGTGCCGATATGCTCTCCGTAAACGGGCGCAGGGCACTGAGCGTGGGTGGGTGACCCTGCGTGGGAGTGGCTGGTGTGCCGATATGCTCTCCGTAAACGGGCGCAAGGCACTGAGCGTGGGTGGGTGACCCTGCGTGGGTGGGATGGGGAAAAAAAAAAGTGGAACATACCAATTTATACACCTTGCGGGGGGGGGCAAACCTTGATCAGCTGAGAGATTCTCTGCCCCCTCCCCCCCTTCAGTAACCAAATAAGTCTGTGGAGGGTGTGGCCCTCTTTAACCCCCCCAATGTGTCCGCAGGTGGCCTCGCCTGATACCCACGTTGGAACCAGTCTACGTTGCCAAGAAGATCATTAATGCCATCCGCACGGACCAGGTGTATCTGATCCTACCGCGGAGCCTCTACGTAGTGCTGGGCTTGAAGAAGTGAGTGTGTGTGTGTGTGTGTGTGTGTCTGTGTGTGTGTGTGTCTGTGTGTGTGTCCCCTTGGGGTGCAATACAGAGGTGGTGGGGCATGAATATACTAGAGCATGATTAAATCTGGGGGGGGGGGTCCAGGTAGTGCTGGCCAACCCATTACATTGGCAGCCTGCTGGGGCACCATCTCAGGACGTGCCAACTTGGCAGGCCTTTGGCTCCGGGGGGTGGGCGGGGGGGGCACTGAAGCCTGCCTTGGGCTCCACATGTGCTTCAATCGGCGCCATTTGCTGGACTGCAAGGCTTCAGGAACCTGGGCAGAATCGTGAGTGTTTGTGTGGTAGTTTGTCTCTCCTGTAAGTGAAGCTTATTCGCTCAAGAGACTGATTCTTTATTTTAGTTCTGGATGCCTTTGTGAGCGATGTGGGGGTGGGGGGGCTTACTGTAAGCAGTGAACCCTGGCACTTGCGTGACTGGTGTAGTTGGGGGGGTAACTCTAGCCAGGTTTGACAGAGTAATAAAAAGCTGACTGACACAGACGACTGCAGATGTGACCCTGTTTGGGGTCTGATGTCACCGCCTGCAGCCTGCCTCAGCTTCAGTTACGTGTCCCTCATGTCAGCTCGTCCCGCACCTGAGCGTGACCACCATTCCAGCCTGCCTCAGTCTAACCCGTGCCAGGCTGATGCCCTTGGACGGCTGCGTATAGATCTCATGCCGTGCGGGTGGAGCTGTAGAAGAGGGTTATCTCCATGGCAACCTCTATCTGCCAATCACTGCATGCTATCATACCCATCCTACCCTAGAGCAGGACTTGAAATCCGTGCATGAGAGTGCATGACACGCATATTTCTGGGACAAAACCACGGTGGGGGCATCTTACCTTGGCCCCCGCTGGTGCGATAGGGTTTCGCCGTGACTCCCAGAGGAGTCCGCATGACTCGCCCCAAGGCAAGTGCCGTGAATTAGGCCCCCTGTTACCGACTGACCGGAAAACGGTGTACCCAGACAAAGGTGTGTTTATGGCTTCTGTTTGAGAACAGCCCTCTTCACAAAGAAGGGTCAGCCGCGGACCTCCTCCCTTCGATACGGCGGTCAGCCTCGGCTCTGCTTGTCAAAGCCATTGTGGACGTTACCCTCACTCGCTGGATGAATCGGACCAACATGGTTGCAGGTCAGGTTTCCCTTATGGTGCTAAAACCTATCCCATCTGCTGCCGACCCCCCCCCCCCCCCCAGCTTCTTTCAGTGGAAGCAGGGGACCCTCCTTGGACGATACCTGGGCGTGTCTGATGACCCCGAGAGCCGTGAGGTCTATAGGAAACGGTCCTGAGTGCCAGCCCTGCTGGAGAGCCCCAGTCGTGGTCTGGCCCCACTGCCCCGAGGCCCATTGTGCTCTTATTGCTCCAGGAGGCTGGTGCTCTCTACCACCACCTGGTGGACAGAGATGGCTCCAGATTTGTAAAAATTCTGACGTTCTTTTGACTGCTTTTCTGCTTTGGATCCACCCTTTTAAGGTTTCCCACTTGCTCATTGTTTAAAATACCCACAAGTCTTCACTCCCAGCTGAAAATGTTCTGCACTTTATTAAATTTTGGGGGCACAGTGGTGAAAATCTAGATTTTGTAAAAAAAAAAATATATATATAAATATATATATATATATATTTAATAAAAGTTTTGTATATTTCTTTCAGTTGGATTTCCTTCTGCCGTATATTTGTGGGGAATATGGTGACTGGTCATGTAACCATAACACCCAAAATTCCCTCGGATATCCCAGGATTTCTTTTCCAGTGTGAAATAAAAATTTAACCAGTCCTCACTTAACCTAAACCCTGCCATAAATCTTACCACCTTTCAGGTGCTTTTAAAATGATAACTTTAATAAAATCATCATATGTATAGATCCATTTCTTTTAATTACTGGAATAGCTACTTCACTATGTTACAGCAGCGGTTCAGAGTCTCCTGTTGACTTACAGAGTCAGCCTAAGTCTGGGGGTGAGGTGTTTGGGTTCCCATAACAGATCTCTGGCCAGAGTCCCCCAGATGTTCTCAGCCTGAGTCTGGGGGTGAGGTGTTTGGGTTCCCATAACAGATCTCTGGCCAGAGTCCCCCAGATGTTCTCAGCCTGAGTCTGGGGGTGAGGTGTTTGGGTTCCCATAACAGATCTCTGGCCAGAGTCCCCCAGATGTTCTCAGCCTAAGTCTGGGGATGAGGTGTTTGGCTAGAGATATGTTATGGGAACCCAGAGTCCCCCAGATGTTCTCCACATGTGCTCCAAATCTGGCTCCTGGGAGATTTACTTACACAAAAATCTTCTGAGGGCAGAAGGAAAAATGATTGGTTCAGGGAGATCAATCAAATCAAATTGGAGAGGAGGTGAGTTCAACCAATCAGATGTCTTGGTCCTGCCTCCTCTAGTTGCTTGGAACCAACTCCTCTACAATATGATTGGTTATCTCTCTGAACTAGTCATTGTTCCTTCTGCCCTTTGAACATTTTTGTGTAAAACTCCAATGAGCCGCCATCTGTCACCTATCTATAACAGGTTATACATTTTCATTTATACACTATCAAGTGCCAGTACAATCAGATCATATTTTGTTGGATTATGTTTTGATCCTCTTGCAAACAGGAGGCAATAAGCCATTGTGATTTACAGCCTGTCTGGTGGCACTGGGGACAATGACACGCATCCTGTCTGTGACAATTCTCTGAGAAATGCGTTTTTGTCCCCTTGGGTTTGCTAATGAATAGGGCTGCACGATATTGGAAAATCTCAGATATTGTAATGTGATTTTATTGCAATAAATATTGGGATATTTATAAAGCAAAAAAAGGAGTTCAAAATAATCTCTCCATAAACCTGTCTAGGAGTGATTTAAACGGCAAGGATGACAATTATGATTGTCCCGGAGAGCCTATGCAGAACACATGCAAAACAATGGCAGTAAACCTTTAATCTGATTTTTTTTTTACCATATACTACATGATCTGATTGAAAAGGAACGATCGTTAGAATTGCAAAGCTTGCTACTTTTATTTCCTATGACAGAGTAAAAATATTTTAGTGAAACTTAAACCCCGTCTCGCTTACATAATCCTATCACCAAGATTTCAAAATACTGGAATTGAATTGCAAAATATGGTTGTTTTTGAAAATCCAATATAGTGTGGCATAATGTCCTGACCATATGAAAAAGCCTGATCTCAACCCTGCTGACTGTATATCTAATATCGCATATTGCCCAGGCCTAATTGTGATTGGGGGTTTGCTGAGAGTCTGTATACAGAGTTTGCATGTCATTCACTAGCCAAAAAACTATATCCAAAACCCCCCAAATTGGGGTAAATTGCCATGGAAAATTAGAACAATGCCAGTTTTCCTTTTGTACCCAGCAACAAAAAACGTTGTAGCATTATGTGTGATTTAATCTGCCTTACTTGACATCTCACGTCCTACGATGTGATTATCGAGCATTAACACGTCGCATTGATGATGTGAAACGATATACTGCTAGGCTGTCACAGTAAATAAGAAACTGTTCTTCATGCTTTGCCTGGTAAAATAAAGGTTAATGAATTAATGTATATTGTGCAACTATAACTAACTAAATAGAAATCGCTTGACAAAACACGCAGCAAAGCATCGATTCAGGTGTTCGATGAACATGGGACAGATTCGCCCAGGAACAAGGTCAACCTGTGTGAGACCTGGAAGTAATTCTCCCACTTCCTGCACATTGATAGTGAGAGTTGTTGAAATATTACTCCAGTCTTTTATTCGTGCATGTCAGCTGTGGTATGTTAGACTTCTGATTTAATTACTAAAATGTCCCAAGTAATATTACCGCCTGAAACATCTACAAGATGCAGATATGTTCATCCAGGCTACCATAACTAAAAAGGGCTTGTGGTTTCTCTCTCTCTCTCTCCTCTTAAGCCTTCTGCCAGTAAAGCTTGCCGTCTTGCTTGGAGTCTACCTTGGAGCATTCAACTTCATGGATGCCTTCAAGGGACGTGTGAAAAAGACGCAGTGACCAGAAGGTGGCGCCAAAGAATGCAACAAGCCATGTTTCACACACTTACTGCAATAATTTATAGTACTCATTTTTATAATTAGATTTTATTGTATGTTTTTACCTTGTACCTAATGCAATGTTTGGCTGTATGTGACCCCCCCCCCAGCAAAAATTGGTGATCTACACATTTTATGACTGTAAACCACACTTGTAGCATATTCGATTATACTGTTCAGTTGAATCAAGGGCGTAAGGTTGGCTTCACCATTGGTAGGGACCAAATCAGCCTCAAGCACACGCCAATCGCACAATATTGGTAGGAACGTGTTCCTGCCACCCCTACCCCAATCAACACCCTTGAGTGGAGCTCAGGATGCACATGCACAGAGTAAATATGAAGGACCCCCCCCCCCAGCAGTGTAAAAGGTGTGGACCAGTACCTGCCATGAAAAGCATGACACTATGTGCTCTGCGTGCCCAAGGAAGGAAATGATAAACCTCTCTGTCACATCCTATGGAAAGCGCTCAAACCCACATGCCTTGAAATGAAGGACTTCTGCATACATTGGGTGGTGAACATGACCCGTGAGCTCCACTGGCCCTGGGTGGTGAACGTGACCCGTGAGCTCCACCGGCCCTGGGTGGTGAACGTGACCCGTGAGCTCCACCGGCCCTGGGTGGTGAACGTGACCCGTGAGCTCCTCCGGCCCTTGTTTCATTTTAATTTCAGGATTGATTGAAGACCCTCCTGCTGCCAAATGTATCAAACACGACAGCGTGTTGAAATATGCACTTAGACGACCGAGACTCCCACACTCAGCATCGCCCAGAAGCACTTAAAATTACCTGAGATTCACAAAGAGCCATTTAAAGATTCTAGTTAAAGATCTTTAGCCCAAAGACCAGCGTAAATTAGTGTTAACCTTGCTGTCCAAGGTATTTATTAGCAGTGTCTGGAATGCACCCCATTATGTTATAATTATTTCCAGTAGATGCTTCATACACTATGATTATTATTATTTTAGCGCTCGGGCATTTCTGTAGCTGGATCCTGTATTAAAGGCTGCATTTCATTACTTGGCCAGTAGGGCAGATCTCACGCCAGCCGTTCGGCCGCAAAACGATGCCCATGGAATCTGGCCAGTAAAGACTGGGTAACAAACCACTTATTTTTGTACTCGACACTTCTGTGGTACAAATAAAAATTTCATTTAGAGATTTTAGTTGTCCATTATGTATTGTAACTGCTGTTTACTGGAACCAGTTACTGAGTTTCTGACTGGAATATATACAAAAAAGCCAAAAATGATCACGCTTAATATTTGTTTTATGCTTGAAAAGCACTAATAAATAAATCAATCCGATGTCCAAACCCTGTTGTCTGTTTGCACGGCAGAAGGTTGGAGCAGCTCTGCTTTACTTGCTCGTACAGAAAACCCACAGCGGATCACATCCGTCCAAAGACGGGAACCAGCGGTAAGTGAACACAGACCTCAAAGGGTGACGGCTTCTTGGCTTGGTTTGGGGGG